ACCAGTCTTCGGGCCACCATGGTGCTAGAATTTTCACCTTATCATAGGATGACCCACAGAAATTCATTGTATCTTCATCAAAGAAGCTGTCAATGTAGGCGCCTCGACGCTTTAAAAGTTCGTAGCAGGGATTGAGATTTGAGGAGGGTATTATTGCGAGAATTAGAGCCGTTTGGACATATCTAAAATTAATTTTTACTATACAAATAAAAAATGCTAGAATGGTTGATCATAGGCGTGGGGGCGGCTGCCGAGTGAATTATTTTTAGCGCCTACAAGATGGCCTAAGAGGCCGCTCTTCCAAATTTCTACATAAAGATTCGTGAAGAACGTTGTATCTACCAATCACGTATCATTATTACAACCCGGGTTCCACTCGGTCAGTATTGACACCCCTTCCTTTTCACTTCTCCTACACTTCCGGCTCTTTCCACACCTTTCCCCCCCCCCATTATTTCCACTTGTCCAATGTACACATGAGGCCTCCAAACTCTTGGTCATTGCGTGCTGAAAAGGCTGCTGCTACTTCCTGCTTGTCACTGGGTAAGTCTGTGGGACACGTTATCGCTCTGTGCGTTATCGTATGCCTGCATGCCTGCTCGCCAGGATTGGGAGGTGCGGCCGTACAACTCTGGGTGCAGCGACCGTACAAACAGTGACCAATCATCAACCTCTGTTTAACCTAACCCCCCATCCTGATCATGAGTAGCTCCCTGCGTGTACACACTTTATCCACAATATACTAACTGAATAAGCGTGCGCCGTCAGTCAGGCTTTACTAGTGTAGCAATCCGCTACAATGGGCAATTTACCTAAAACTATTTTTAGAAAATTAAATAACTTGTTGCGCTATTACTCACGGGAAAGTCTAGAGAAGGGAGTCAATTTTATAACATGTTTTAACCGGCTATATATGAGTTTCAGCCAATGAAATCAAATAGAAGAATTGTTATAATAAAAGAAACATTGATCTAGTATATTGTTAATCATGTGCTAGATTTATATGGATGATCGATTGAGCATAACGCATGTGAATTAGGGCAGGTTATAAAAACACTGGTGGTAAAATTGACTAAATAAATAAAATGTGTTTACTAACCGTCGAAATACTGATGCTTCAATTGATTCAACATTTTCTGTGCTCCATTGAACATATTGACAAAATGCCTGCTGAAGGAGGGAGTACGTAGCCAATTCCATCCAGGATTCCTTCAAAAATATCTTTGTGGCCTGGTGGTAGAGTGCCTCAGCTTTTAAGAAGTTTCCACCATCTCTGAAACCATAAAATATCGACTGACATATTCAAAAGGCGCTTTTAAGTCTATTAAATATCATATAAAGCATATTCCACATCTTTTGCACGATTCGCTGATGGAATTGCATCCATTTTATTAGCTTCTTTGCAATAGTTGTGAGTAAAGTTTAGCTTCCAGTCAATAAGCCCTTTATCGGTATACTCATTTTTCGAAAAGTTGACTGTGAGCTTTACAAATCTGATGAAAATTTTACTCTCTTCAACTTAACCTCATTCCCATCTTGTAGAAGTTGGACTAGAAAAGTCTAAATGGCATACAGTTTAATTAGTTTTCTCAATCTTCCATCAATATCTTCAAAGCAGTTGCATCTCTTTAAACCCTTTTACCCAATGAAACAGGAGAAATTTATTACCTCTAATTTGAGAATACATTTGGTCTTACTTCGTATTATTACCCATTCATAGTTAGGGTTTAAAGAGCTTAGCCTAATACCCCCATTATGATATTATGAGCCAAATTATTTGAAAGAATTAAATCAGTAATATGAACACGTTTAAAGCTATCGAGTGTCATAATTCTTAAAGTCCAGTAATGGCTTGAATAATACTTAGCTATTTTGGCATTATCATACAATTTACATTTCATTCTCTAATAACAACTTGAAACCACGTGAACTGGGAAAAACGCTAAATGTAAAAAAATAATCATTGAAATGCTTCCTTCCCTCGTAAATTTGCTGTTAGATACCATTTTCAATGAGTGCAAAAATAAGTTAAGAACGCTTTATTTATAAAAATAAGGCTAGCCAATGGCGTGTGTTCACCTATGGTTGCTTTGGTTACGTTGATTAGCACATACAAGCATTATTCTCTTATCTCACCCTTATAGAATGGCACACTTTAACATGCCCCGTCGAATTTTCATCAAGTGTTTAAGTCAGTTAATTGACGCACAAGATGTAACTAACCTGAAAAAGTCCGCTAACTCCAACGACATGCATATGGCGCCTCGTTTAGCACTTGAACAGCTTTGAAAGAATATACAAGCTCCAGCAAATTTGCGATAGAATTCTTCAAAAGATGAGGAAGATACAAACGCAATGGAGATTTGAGCTCCAAAAGAACCCCCGAAACTGATTCGACCACTCAATGGTATGTCAGCACTGCGATTAGCGGAGTTGTTAAACATATCCATGATGGAAATGAGCATAGCTCCATTGTACGAGTCTGGACGAATTCCCCTGGTCATTCTACGTTCAGGATCGGGCCAGAGATCAGCGAGCCGACCGAGACGTGAGAGTGCGACACACGCCCTTCGCCAAAGATCCACTGTCCATTTGCTCGTCCCAACAAGATCCTGATTTTGAGCTGCTCCACGGCCACATTTCGCTTGATCATCGGCTACAACAGAAGCAAGAACTGCTCTGGCAAGAATGTTAAAAGTTCCTTCTGTCTGCAGAGAAATATCCTCCAGTAAATCCAAAGATTCTAAAGCTTTAAATCTTGCCGATAGTAGAGTTGAAGCATTCGATTCGAAGTTATTGGAAGGAAAGTTTGAATCCTCTTCTGTATTCATATGGCCAGAATTGTAGTTATTAGATGAGGAATTTTCACTGGGTACTTCGTCTGATTGTTGCAAAAGATTGCTAGTTTGTAAGAATTTGCGTCGAAGATTGATAAAGTCTTCTGGTTTTGGTGCACAGTGTGTTCCCCGTCGGAACATATCCAGGGTTTGAAGGGAGGTTAAAAAGATCCAGAAGTGCAACTGGAATTCTGGAATAGGAATCTAATACAGATAAAACCTCATTTATGTAGATATGCTTGGAAATGCTACATTTTAACATTAACTATCTTTAAAATACCTTCAAATCTCTCGCCTCCTTTGTGCAAAGACGGATCATTCTCACGGCTCGGTGAGGCAACTCAGAGATGCGATCAAGCGCCTGAAGAAGAGCGCATTCTCTTGTGAGGATGTGCGCCCGGAGTTCGAAGAGATTCGCTTTCTTTTGGCGTACTAACTCTACTCGTTCTGGATTCGCGTAGGTTGAGATTATGGTTGGGTCATTTATGAGTCGATCACAACTATTTGATAGTAGGTCTTTGACCCATTTTGCGATTCCTATGACAGGGATAAAAGAGTAAGTTTAGTTTAGGCTTCATTGAGTAATTATTTAAACTACTGAGACAATCGATATGAAACTAATAACAGTGAGGTAAGAATATCTGAATTGAGTGATTTCCACTTTTTAAAGGCAACGAATTGACTTACAATGAACAATGATAATTAATTTACCTGAAGTATCGAGAATTACGTAAAATAATGGGAAAATTCGTGGGAATATCGTGGCCGCATACTTGGCACTGAAGTTCTCACAAAAACAGGTAATTTTCGGTCCTGTGTGGGAGGCGGGGGTGGGGAGGGTGGAGGTGAGGGTGGGAGGGCATGACTATGTTATATCAATACTAATGATATTATTAGCAATAATCTCGAGACGACATCATCAAATTCAGCTTTGTGGAAAACGTGTTAGCTCTTATTATCTTGCTTTTAACTTGGCAGAATAAAAATATAACTACGGAGCTCGATCAATGTTAATTAAATTTCAAATAGACTTTTAGAAGCCGTAACTTCACTCAGAGGTGTATCGAAAAATCCTAAGCTTTAAAAATATCGAAATATGAAATAGCGCTAGGCTATACCTAAGAAGACAAAATCATACAACCAGAATTCATAGATCAAATTGAGTGAAGCTTTTCTTAGGTTCTGAACTCACTTTAAACTACGTTCTCTATACTCTCCTTCTGCACACATCATGCGAGTTTACCTTGTCTCCTTTTTTCAATGGATAAAAATATCAAAGGGACCTCACATGTCCGAAAATCTTTGTTAACGTGATGCTTAATAGCAATTTCATCCACTTTTGTGGAAGCATTCCTTTTATTGAATGTTGTTATAAGTAGGCGTTGAGGGAAGAGAAGGGTATGGCTTAGAACTATTAATAGTTGCAAAGTAACATTATATTTTTAATTCATTCTTTTCTGAGTTAATATTTTCACCTAAAAAAGTTGGCATTGAGTTATTCAAAATTTCCAACCATTATTTCACAAAAACACAAGACTGATCTTATGAGACGATTCAACTTCATTGGCAACATAATATCCAAGTTCAGTAAGTTCCAGAGAAATTAGACATTTTGAGAATGCAATTTTCGAGAGCAAGACAATGTTTGCGACTTGATCACTATTATGTTATCTTAAACAGGGGTGTGTGATTGACTTACCTCCACGTGTTGCACCCTGGGCAACGTATACTCATACGGCAAAAATAGTCTTTAAACTATTACCAAACTACTATGACCCAACTGAAGGTCATATACGACCACTTCACCGTACTCACCTTACCCTTTCCCCTATCTTTATGTCTGTCTGCTTTACATCTATGAATCACTCTTCTGTTCCCTCTCTCGACTTTATGTGCTTTTGATGTTCCTCCCTTCTGTGAAGCCCGAAGTCAACTAAAGGACTAATGACAGCTATCAAAAAGCCTGCCATTGGATATAAATAAATGTTATCTTAAACATGTCACCTGCTATCGTCTTGAAGTACCTGATTCCACATTAATTGATTATATCCTGAAGCTGCAATTAGTTTATGTACACACTGTGCAAGATAAGTTCAAAATATATAAGGAAAGTAGAAGGATCCATTTGTTATTTACAAAAGAATACACCTCGTTGAGTAACGAACGCATGCCCTTGAACTTGACACGCCTGGATGTTCATCGGAAATTCACAGAAGCACCAGTAGTCAGCACCATAGATTGTTTTATATGCGGACAATATGATCTTACAAATTCAATTTCAATGAATGAACAACATTGGAAATTGAAGTATAGTTTCTGAGAAGTTAATCAACCAACAAACCTTCTTCGGCTGCTTTTGTGAGCTCATTGGTTAGAAAATTGTCAGCCCTCTCCATGCATTCTAACGCTTCATCGTAGAGACTCATGCAACTGTAAAGGGACGAAAGTTCTTCCTAAAAAAAGGAAAAAAGTCAAACAAACGCTCATTTTTGCAATAATAAAAGTACAATCATTTATTACTCAAACAAAGTGGTTATACAATTAAGCTTTGTATACCTCCCCCACCCCACCCCGCCCTGCCCCTCCCCCACTATAATCAATAAAGCCTTACGTTCTCTGTTATTCTTAGTTAGCACCCTCAAATGTCAAAAAGAATAGCCTTATAAACTCCACTCCTACTGTCAAGGAAGATAGTAGAGAGGGTGACAGAATATTGTTAGAAAATCCATTAAAAAGTACGCAATAGAACATGATTAACATGCGGAATGGAGCTGAAAAGGGCAAAAAATTAAATTAAATCAATAATCAACCGCGAATGAACTCCAAGGCCATGGTTTCATCATATCGGTTAATTGTTTCAAGTTTAGCCTATTCTCTGCTTCAATTTGAAAGATTAACCATTTTAATTGGTTATTTTTGCTTGCATTTAAAAAAAAACAATACAAGAAAGAGGAGAGTTTGCAAATGAAAGTCAGAGACCTTCTTGTAAAGAAATGAATAATGAATAAGATCTTAAAATGAAAATCGCTAGACGAGCAACGCTTTGAAGAGCCTTAACTTCCAATCAAAGTGCTTATACTTGCGGAACATACCTTTTCTTAATCTAATCAAGTGCTATAACACAACCGATTTAAAAAAAACATATGGCAATGATACCAAAGTGCCCATCAGTGAATAAATGAATGTAACTACAACTCAAAGTTGATTCTGTAAACTTAATGGACACATGAGCTTATTTTACCTATTTCTATGCAGAGTGAAAAGAATTACAATTCAATGAGCGAGATATTCAGAAAAATTGAATAATTTTGTAAGGAATAGGCACAATTTCTTTCTGTAAATGAATATTTTTTCAAGGAATAGCCTAATCATTCATGTTTGAGCCACATTTTACATTCACTATGATTGGGCCGATCTTGTTTTAGCCTGAAAACGAGAACGGTAAAGTGGCACACAGAAGACCTAATCTGAGATTATACGAGTTGGAACTACGTGCTTTTCTCAGGAATAGAAAAAGGGTAAAATTATTCTTTAAGTGAACGAAAAGCATTCATTTACATTAAAAACATCAAGCCCCATAATCAGGACCTTATAGAAGTAATAGATTCGGATCTATATTTTGTTGGATAAAAGTTTCATTGGACAAAGCGAGAATATTGGATATCTTCCCCCCCCCTCTCCTCCTCCAATGAGAACATTGTACTTTTATAATTCCTATTCACTTTTGCTTCCATACTAGTGACCTTCAAAATAGAGAGATCAACTACTACACTGATATCTAATAAATATGGCAGTCATTTTTCCCCTAACATGTAGTTCTTTAATGGTTCTCATAAGTTAAGAACTTTCAGTGATGGCAGTAAAAATGTTGGATTTTTTGATAAGAGTGATAGAAAAAAACGTAAATTCAACCTAAAGAGGAGGGAAAGGAAGCAGTGTCGAGTTTTCGTCATTAAATTTACCACAAGGTGACGCTGATAGAAAGTAAACTGAAATCACGATAATGACAAAATGAGCGCATTAAATTTACGTGAAATTAACTCCGAGTAAAAGGGGGTGTGCGATAGACTTACCTCCACGTGGTGCA